TAAACTCACAGACATAGAAAACAAACTTATGATTACCAAAGGGGAAAGGGAGGGAGGGATAAATGAGGAATTTGGGATTAATAGATACACACCACTATGTATAAAATAGATGAACAGCAAGGTCCTACTGTAGAGCACAGGGGACTATATTCAATATCTTATAATAAACTATAATGGAAAAGAACATGAAAAGGAATATATATATACATATATATGTGTATAACTGAATCACTTTGCTGTACACCAGAAACTAACACAACATTGTAAATCAATTATACTTCAATAAAAAAAGCCAACATGGGTTTCCCTAGTGGCGCAGTGGTTGAGAGTCTGCCTGCCGATGCAGGGGACGCGGGTTCGTGCCCCGGTCCGGGAAGATCCCACATGCTGTGGAGCAGCTGGGCCCGTGAGCCATGGCCGCTGAGCCTGCACGCCCGGAGCCTGTGCTCCGCAACGGGAGAGGCCACAACAGTGAGAGGCCCGCGTACCACAAAAAAAAAAAAAAAAAGCCAACAAAAGAGGTCATGTCGGAGAGGGGGTCTGAGAGACCTTTGTGGTAAAGTGCCTTTTTGACCACACACACACACACACACACACACACACACACTCACATTAACAGAGAGAAGAAAAAGGCAACAGGTATTGTACAGCTCTAGGGCTGCAAAGAACCTTTAAAATCCTTTAGTAAAACTTGCCCACTTTAAGATCAGAAAATGATGCTCAAGGAGGTTAAGGTCAAGCTCACAGAGACAGAAGGACCATGTGGCCCTCCTGGTCTCCAGCCAGGAGTCAGACATATCTGATTATCACCTTGCTCCCAAGGAAAACCCCAGGCCAGAGGGTCTCTGCCCTGGCTCAAGCCAGAGTCACCAGGGGGCTTAAAAAATCTCCTCTGCCCAAACTGCAACTGGGACCCGAGGTGGGGATTGTTCCAGTGTGGGAACCACAGCCCAAGCTGATCTCTACGCATTCCCTCCCACTCTAAGTCCACTTGTCTTCCTGCCGCGGGCTTTCAGGGGTGTTTTATTTACTGCGTGGATGCAGTGATGGAAAGGGCTCTGTGAGGCTGTACAGAAAGAAGCCCAAAGAAGCGTCCTCCAATTTGTCCTTTATATGAGAAGGGCCAAAGTTCTCTAGGGTTTGGCTTCACATGCTTCTGTTCTCTCTTTCTCAGCCCCTAAAAGTCTCTGTGGCAAATATTTCGAGTTACTGAGACGGAAACAAAAAAAGCAAATGTATAAGGAGATCTCCTTAAGTAAAGGCACTAACTCCGTTGGCAAATTCTTCAGGAATGTGACTGTATTACTGCTCCCTCCACCCAGGACTCCTGTCTCCCATGTGCTCATCATGTTAGCTTTTCGAAATCAGGACTAATTTACCTGAGGTCCTTGCTTGAGGCTCCTATCAAAGTGGGGATGTCAGAAAAGCTCCCCAGATGAAAACGGGACCCCTTACTTGAAAGGCATGCCATAAAGGGATGAGGGGAGCCCCTGCAGTCCACCACATGCGCACAACACCGAGAGTAAACCCTAAGGTCAGCTATGGACTTTGGGTGACTATGATGTCAGTATAGGTCCATCCTTGGTAAAAAAAAAAAAAAAAAAGTATCTCTCTAGTGAGTGATGTTGATAATGGGGGAGGCTACACGTGTGAGGGCAGGGTGTATATGGGAAATGGTCAGCTAGAGATAAGAAGGATTGGTCAATTTTATTACTTTCAAACTTGATTGCTCTACGTTCCCAGAGTTCAAACACACTACACTAGACCAAAGGAAGCCGCTTTTTAAAATCTGTTTCATATTCTGAGTTACACAGTAAACGTACAAAGTGCCTTGGGTCACAAAGAGTAAATGTTGCACAATGCATCCTCCTATCACTCTTTGATTCTGCAATAGATAATGGCCTGAATTTTTGTACCATGCTTAGGTTTGCTATATTTTTTATTATTAGTTAGTCTATGAAATATTTATCTGCATTATCATTTTACATTAATATTTAACAGAGTCCCACTGATTGGAAGGGTTATAGTTGTGTGATGGTGCCACGTAGACAGGTTAACTCATCAGGCCCTTAACTCTTTGTCTGTTTAAGTTAAGGGAGAATGAATCAGCAACATTAGCATCATTTTATAGTAAAGATTTTTTAATGTGCATTTCCAGAGGACTCTTCTATTCAAATAAGAGTATTCTACCTCATGTACTATTTCTGTAAGCCCATCCATCACAATGCGGGACCAAAACAACAAACAGACTTGGGGGCACAAGGTCACATAACATTAAAAAAAAAAAAAAAAAGGCTCCACCCACTCAAATTGCCTAAGAGAATACAGTTAGGTTTACATCAGCCTTAGGTTCAGTTTAACAAGTTAGAGGTGAGCAAGAATTCTTAGTTGACAAGTTACAGAAAAGCAAAAATTCTTTAGCCAGGAATGGATTATCTTTTCTTCTTATTCCTCTGGTTCAAGATCTTAAACTAAAATTATTATCTTCTGTGGAGACAAATCAAGAAAAACTGTATTCCCTAAAAGAAAGTTTCTCAGAAAAGAATGGGCCAGTTACAGGAGTCCTGTGCAAGAATATTTGCTTCCTGGACTAATTTCTAATCAGTCTTTAGTAACTTGCATTATTAACACTGAGTCTAATTTCATTCGGTGTTTAACAAGTGTCTAATGACTCCATACTTCTGTACCCTCTGTTCATTTGCATGGGAAAGGAGAACAGGGGAGAAATAGCTGGGTTTACTGGGAATTTTGCTAATGGGGCTTGAGCCTCAAGCCCCAGACCCTTTCGAGACCCTGCACTTCATTTCGGTTTTGATATTTTCTTTTCTTAAAGAGCACCGTCAAATTTTATCCACTTCAGGTCACACCAAATCTAGATTATTCCTGGGGAGAAATCAAGTCTCTTCTCTCAAGGAGCTGATGGTCTGAGAATGTTCTTTTTCTCCCACCCCCTCCATAACCCTTACCCCCTCACCTCTCCTAAATCAGTGCTTCCTCAGGCACTGTTTGCACAAGATTCACCTGGGATGGTGCTGCCGACACAGTCACAGGCATATCACGATTCTGATGCAGGTTTCAGGTAAGTCCTGCTAATATCCCTCTGGGGATGAAGCATGGCACTGATATTTCTGCCTCAGTTTCCCTAAATTTCCATGCACTTTCTAGAGAGTGGCCAGAGTCACAGCGTGCAAATCATAATACCATGCAATTCAGCAATATTTCTTGGATGAATGCAAACAATAATTAGTTCCTCATTCAAAATTATTACCACAGTATAAAATCTAAACTCCTTGGCATGCTGGCCTTCAGGCAGCTCCAGGTCCACCCTCCTTCTGCCGCTTCTCCTTTACCCCCAGTGTCCCTATGATTCTGAAATGCTCCCAGGCACCCTTAATATAATGGCCTGTCGTGCTTTTAGGCTTCCTAACTGGTGGCCTCCTTTACCCACCATGACCCTCACTCCCCTTCGTCAGCACACACAGCTACGCAGCATGGCTTCTGGGTAGCTTGATTTGACCCCTCTCTGACCCCACACCCCCCTTCTCCAGGCAGATTTAGGCATCCCTACTTCTAAGCATCCTTGGCACCTGATAAGCAGTGCGTTAAAGTACTCCTCACGCTGGGCTGTCATTGCCTCCTAGCCATTCTTCTCCTGTTGGGAAATTCTGAAGGGCAGGATCTATATCTTTTTATCTCTGTATCCAGGGCTCTTATTATGGACCACAGCGCCCGGCCCATGATAGATGATCAATTTAAAAACATTTTTTAAAAATGTAGAGAGGAATTAAAGAAATTAGATAACAAACAACAGGATAATATCAACAAGTAGACAACTTCTGTATACTTTGCTATTTTTTTCATTATCAAGTAATATGAAGTACCTCCATGTGCACGGATTTATACTAGCCTCCATGCAAAGGTTTACCCTAAAATGCAACTTTTACCAGCAAATAGGGGCACATTTCACTCACACAAAAAAAGTGTGGTCACCCAAGGGAGCAAAGAATTGATAAGGTATTCAAGAGCCTCTCCCCTCAGAGTTAACTACTTGGAATCTCTAGACTGGAACCATGACCTCTGCTCCTCAGAAGCTGGAGTTGCAAGTTTTGGGTTCTCATCCAAAGGCACCACTTCCACGCCTAACAAGTTGTGTAACACCTGCAAGCTTCTGTTTCCTTATTAAAAAGGAGAAAATAGTACAGACTTCACAGACTGTAGGCTTTGATCCTAAGGATCGAATTAAGTAATTTGCATGAAGCCATTCATTGGTTCTGTGCCTGACACCCAGTAAACACCCAGCAAATGGTATTTGTTGTTGTTATTTCCAGTGCTTACAAAGTTGAGCTGACTCCCAATGTTCAATATGATTCCTGGTCCTTCTCATTACAGAGCAACACCCGGCTATATGTATTTCTTGTACAGATCGCAGGTTACAACTGGGCTCTGATGTGGCTGTCCTTTTATGGCTACAAGGGGCTGAGTCTTTGGAGGGTGGAAATTTCTAGTTTCAACTACATAGGGGAGTATATGGTCCTCTAGGAGAGAACTCAGGCCAAGCATGGAATGTCCCCAGGTCCTGGTTCACAGGCAGATCTCCTATATCCTCCTGGGGCTCCACTTTGGGGTCTGGGGCTTCCGGAAGTCTCAAATATTTGAGCACCCCTGGATGCTACAGGAAAAGGAGAGATGGATGTTCTCTTCATCTTTTTTTTTTTTCCCGTTAGTTATCTCTGAGCTATGATTAGACATTCTAGCCTTGTCCCAGACTTGCTACAATTTGGAGTTGCCATTGCTTGCTTTGGGGCCTGAGCACTGAAGAGAGTGAACAGCGCCCCCTGAGGCCAGCGAGGTGATGGCAGCAGTAATAAGTGAACAACTCCACACAAGGCGAAGGTGATCTTTGGAGGAAGCCTCCCCAGCTGCCAACCTCAGAGGGCCTGACTTGGCACTGCCTAAGGAGCACATCTGGGCATCAAGCGTAAAAGCAGCAAGCCGCTTACCTCCTCAAAGGCATTGCTGCCTGCCACCACGATATTCGGCCTGAAATTGTCCATTTTCACTTTCTTCTCCAGCCTGGTATTCAGATCTGCCAGGGAGGCTTCTGAGAGGACCATGATGGGGCTGCAGTCCGGGTAGGCCACCTGTGCCAAGGACACAGCATGATCATGCCTCGCTGCCCATGGAATGGCTCAGACCAACTGCACAACTAAGCAAAATCCAGAAGAAAAACCACCTGAGTGCAGAAGGGGAGAGTGGTGCTCAGGAAGGATAGGTGACACTGAGGGCTTGGAAACGGCCAAGTCAGGGTTCCTGCCCACCCCGGACGCAGGTGGGGCTCCTCATCCACACACTGAAGGCAGCAGCCAGGCTCAGGTCCAGTGTTACCCTCCAGCCACATCTCTTGTTCTTCCTCAGGCGCCCAGCAGTGAGCCCCTTGCCACATCATCAACACCACCGGACAGGGCAAGGGTCTCCTGCCAATCAGCTATACTCTAGCCATGATTTCCTTCAGCAGCACCATTCACTCACATGCATTTATTAAACACCAACTGTATATTAGGCCCTGTCCTAGGTGGGGAAATAGCAGTGAACACAGCAGATCAAAACCCCTGCATTCAAGGAACTTTTCGTTCAGGGATCGTGAGGAGAGACTTCCCGAGGTGCATTTTGAACCTCATCTCACAGCAGAATGAAAGGCTTTGGCTTGGGGGCTGTAGCTGACACAGGAGGAGGTGACTTCTCAGCCCCGGAAACAACCACACCCCACTGGCTGTGAAGGGAGGACTTGGAGAAAGTCTGCTTCTGTGCTTTTAGGAAACCTGAATTTAGTCCCAATCAAACTTCACTTTTGCCTCCCAGCCCATCCTCTCCTGAGTCCCCATCTCCCTGGGAGTCACCCCTGGCTTCTCCCTCCACAGTTCCTCCCATATTCCATCCTCCATGCATCCTGGAGAGCCCACCAGGCTCTCATCCGCTTCCCTCTCCATCCCTGATACCTGCCCAGGGAGCACCCTCAGTACCACTCCCCTGGACCATCTCTACACTTTCCTAACTGAGGCCCCAAGAGAGGCTCTCTGTGGACCCAGAAGGAAGCCAGAAGTGAAGGGCAGGTCTCTGCAAGCTCACCTGGTACTTCTGGCCAACAGAAGGGAAAATTTTGCTTGATGGTCTTCCCTTCATGTTCTTTTCAAACTGAACCAGCCTGAAAGCTTCTGTTTTCAAGAAGTTGGTGAACCACTGAGCAGCCTCATCACCACAGTCCCTGCCCTGGATGTCAAGACCAAAAACCCTGGAAGGGTCACAGAGAGCAGTGAGGTTACTTTCTTCATCAACACACCGAGTGATGGGGTCAAGAGGGAAGTGCTGCTGGGACCTGACTCTCCCAGAAGACCAGTAAGTGGTCTGTGGGCCAAAGCTGGGCAGAAACAGAGGGGGAGGGAGCAGGGAAGAGCTTGTCAAACCCTAATAGGCTTGTAACTCACACAGATCTCGTTGAAATGCAGATTCTGGTTCAGGAGGTTGGGCTGGAGCCTGAGATTCTGCATTTCTAACAAGTTACAGGCTGCTGGTCCACGGACCACACTTTGAGTAGCAAGGATTTAGGTTACTTTCAGAAGGGGAGAAGAACGGTGGTGTGGTAAAGGCACTCTGAGCTTGGAGTGTGGTAAAGGCACCCTGAGCTTGGAGCCTGGCAAGACCCGGTTAAAATTGGAACTCTGGGGCTTCCCTGGTGGCGCAGTCGTTGAGAGTCCGCCTGCCGATGCAGGGGACACGGGTTCGTGCCCCGGTCCGGGAAGATCCCACATGCCGTGGAGCGGCTGGGCCCGTGAGCCATGGCCACTGAGCCTGCGTGTCCAGAGGCTGTGCTCCGCAACGGGAAAGGCCGCAACAGTGAGAGGCCCGCGTACCGGAAAAAAAAAAAAATTGCAACTCTGCCATCTCTAGTCTGTGACTTTTAGCAAATCATTAAACTCCTCTGACCTTCTGTCTCCAGTTGTAAATTGGAGATAATAATATACCGCCTGCCTCACACGGTGGACACAGATTCCACCAGATAACAAAGTGGTCTTCAAGGATTTTTTGCTTGAGTGCCCCCAAAAGATACAAGCTATGTACCCCTCACAGAATTACAAGTTGGCGTGTAAACTTTTTTCTTTTTTTTAAGTTGAAATATAGTTGATTGATAATATTGTGTTAGTTTCAGACGTGCAGCAAGTGATTCCGTTTTATATATACTTTTTCAGATTATTTTCCATTATAGTTTATACAAATTTTTTTAAAGATTTATTTATTATTTATGTATTTAATTTATTATTTTATTTTGGGCTGCGTTGGGTCTTAGTTGCGTTGTGGTGCGTGGGCTCCTCTCTAGTTGTGGCACGTGGGTTTTCTCTTCTCTAGTGGTGGCGCGCAGGCTCCAGCACGCGTGGCCTCGGTAGTTGTGGCACATGGGCTTAGTTGCCCTGTGGCATGTGGGATCTTAGTTCCCTGACCAGGGATCGAACCCAAGTCCCCTGCATTGTAAGGCGGATTCTTTACCACTGGACCACCAGGGAAGTCCCCATACAAGATATTGAATATAGTTCCCTGTGTTGTACAGTAAATCTTTGTTGCTTATCGATTTTATGTACCATAGTTTGTGTCTAGTAATCCCACGCTCCTAATTTTTCCCTCTCCCCCTCACTTTCCCCTTGGTAACAATGTTTGTTTTCTATGTCTGTGAATCTGTTTCTGTTTTGTATGTAGATTCCTTTGTATTATTTCTTAGATTTCACACATACATGTTAGCATATAATATTTGTCTTTCTCTGTCTTACTTCACTTAGTATGATATTCTCTAGGTCTGTTCATGTTTTTTATAAGTTTAATTTGTTATGAAAGATTAAATTTCCATTGAATTATAAATATTAACATTTAAAATAAAATTACATCATAATTTATATATTATGTCTTAGTATTATAAATATATATAAATTATATTAAATAAAATAAAATTATGCTTTTAAAAGTATGCAATGGAATCCCAATGCCAGGCTAGTTTGATATCTATTTTTAAAAACAATCTTTTTTTAAAATAAATGATTAAGGGCTTCTTTTATGGTCCACATTTTAAAAATTATTTTTAACTTTTGTTCCCAGTTTTATTGAGACATAATTGACATACGTAAGTTTAGGGTGTAAAGCATAACGACTTGACTTACATATATTGTGAAATGATTACAAGTTTAGTCAGCAGTCATCATCTCATATTTTTTTTAAGTTTTTTTCCTTATAATGAGAACTAAGGATACACTGTGTTAATAGATGGAATGGAAGAAGTTGAGTTATAATAATTTCACTCATCCTTTGAACCCTTCTGTGATCTTTGGCACTTAATAATCATTCATCAAAAAGTCTTTTTAAATAATTTATCAGCAAATTTGATTAGAGGCTCCTTAATCTTAGCGTAAGACAAAGACTTTGAACCACTATCTTGTAGAATGACTTTACCCCATCACTGGAGACATTCTCCTTTATCAACACCAGTATATTTTATTGTTTGGGCCCCATAGGTTTTCCCCTCCCAGAGTAGTGCTCCCTACTAAGACATGGGGAGGGCAAGCCTTTCATCTGTACAAAGGGGAGGTGGAGAGGAGAACTTGCCCCCTGCAGCTAAGATCACTGTTGGAGGGAGAACCTATGGGATTTGAGGATCTGGAAATTGATTCCCTTGCCCGCCCTCTGGTACCACAGGAAGTGTTTGCACCTCTCTGTGTGAGTGCTTCTCCCAGCTTGAAGGCTCCTGGGGTGATGTATGTGAGGGAATCCAAGGTGGACTGTGGACCCCGAGGCCCACAGTCCTGGTCTGACTGCTACACACGCCTCATTCTCTGACAACCTAGCCCACCTACTGTCAAATCTCCGTGCCGTTCTTCTGATGTTTCTTGGCCTTTTCCTTCTCTCTAAACCCCCTTCTTGGAGCTGCTGTTTGGCCTCGGTCCCCCTGCCGTCTCATAGTCCTCTCTCTCAGAGCCTTCAGCCTTTCCCCTAAAACTCTCCTCAACCAACCAGTCTACTATCTCACACAGATCTGATTGCATCGTTCATCAGCTCCTTAAGTATCTGTTCCTGGGCTGAGCACTTCCCTCAACCCCTTCACCAGAGCCCTCGTGTATAAGTGCGCACACTTCTACCCTCAGCTTCCATCCACTCAGATAAGCTTAGTGTGGGCACTTTGAAAAGTAGAAAGCACCCAGTGGGGCAAGGGAAAACCGATTATCCAGTGCCCCTTCCCACTCCTGAAACATATCCCTCCCCTAATCCTTCCTCCCTCCCACCCCTGCAGCAGACTCTATCCCTCTGCCATTCCACCTTCTTCAGTTCTCTCAGAATTTGGGAATTCCCTGGCAGTCCAGTGGTTAGGACTCAGCACTTTCACTGCCGTGGGCCCAGGTTCTATCCCCGGTCAGGGAACTAAGATGTCATAAGCCATGCGACGTGGCCAAAAAAGAAAAAAGAGTTCTCTCAGAATTTTATGCAAAGTACTTGCTTCCACATTCTGATACAAAATGTTCCATCATCAACTGCGCATAGAAAAAACCTGAATCTCCACGTGTGAGTACAATAGAACTAACATTAGTTAGTAATCTACTAATTCATAAAGTAAAATAACTTACTAAAAATACTTAAGAAGACATAAAAGTTTGAATGGATTTTTATAAAGAAAATCCAGGCAGTTTTACTGGAAATTTCCACCAATGATCAAAAAATAAATACTACCAAAGATAAACAGAAAAAAAAATTTTAATTGTCATCTAAAATAGGAACAAAAAGTTAAGATATTTAGGACTAAATCTAACAAAAGATGTACAATTCTATTATAGAGAAAATTATAAAACTTTTTTTTAATTTTTGAATCTTATTTTATTTTTTATACAGCAGGTTCTTATTAGTTATCTATTTTATACATATTAGTGTATATATGTCAATCCTAATCTCCCAATTCATCCCACCACCACCCTACCCCACCCCGCTTTCCCCCTTGGTGTCCATACATTTGTTCCCTACATCTGTGTCTCCATTTCTGTCTTGCAAACCGGTTCATGGGTACCATTTTTCTAGATGCCACATATATGCGTTAATATTCGATATTTGTTTTCCTCTTTCTGACTTACTTCACTCTGTATGACACTCTCTAGGTCCATCCACATCTCTACAAATGACCCAATTTCTTTCCTTTTTATGGCTGAGTAATATTCCATTGTATATATGTACCACAACTTCTTTATACCTTCGTCTGTCGATGGACATTTAGGTTGCTTCCATGACCTGGCTATTGTAAATAGTGCTGCAATGAAGATTGGGGTGCATGTGTCTTTTTGAATTTTGGTTTTCTCTGGGTATATGCCCAGTAGTGGGATTGCTGGGTCATATGGTAATTCTATTTTTAGTTTTTTAAGGAACCTCCATACTGTTCTCCATAGTGGCTGTATCAATTTACATTCCCACCAACAGTGCAAGAGGTTCCCTTTTCTCCACACCATCTCCAGCATTTGTTGTCTGTAGATTTTCGGATGATGCCCATTCCAACCCGTGTGAGGTGATACCTCATTGTAGTTTTGATCTGCATTTCTCTAATAATTAGTGATGTTGAGCAGCTTTTCATGTGCCTCTTGGCCATCTGTATGTTTTCTTTGGAGAAATGTCTATTTAGGTCTTCTGCCCATTTTTTGATTGGGTATAAAACTTTTCAAAGAAGTAAAATAAGATATAAATAAGTGGGTAGGGGCTTCCCTGGTGACACAGTGGTTAAGAATCCACCTGCCAATGCAGGGGACACGGGTTCATTCCCTGGTCCGGGAAGATCCCACATGCCGTGGAGCAACTAAGCCCATGTGCCACAAATACTGAGCCTGTGCTCTAGAGCCTGCAAACCCCAACTACTGAACCTGCATGCTACAACTACTGAAGCCCGCGCACCCAGAGCCCATGCTCTGCAACAAGAGAAGCTACCGCAATGAGCAGCCCGCACACTGCAACAAAGAGTAGCCCCCACTCACTGCAACTAGAGAAAGCCCATGCACAGCAACGAAGACCCAACACAGCCAAAATAAATAAATTAAATAAATTAAAAAGTTCCTGTCTGAAACAGTTTAAGGTAAAAACTTGCAATTGTGTGGGCCACTTCGATCTGAAACTAAGATGTTTCTTCCTAACAAGCTGAAAACGGTTTCGATAAAAAGCTTGAAAAAAGAAACGAAAAGTCTACAATTCAGTAAATTAGTCATTAAAAAAAAAGATATAAATAGAGACATCGCTGGTGGCACAATGGATAAGAATCCTACTGCAAATGTGGGGGACAGAGGTTGGATCCCTGGTCTGGGAAGATCCCACATGCCATGGAGCAACTAAACCCATGAACCACAAATACTGAGTCTGCTCTCTAGAGCCCGCGAGCCACAGCTACTGAACTTGCCTGCTACAACTACTGAAGCCTTCACGCCCAGAGGCCATGCTCCGCAACAAGAGAAGCCACCACAATGAGAAGCTCACACACCACAACAAAGAGTAGCCCCTGCTCGCCGCAACTAGAGAAAGCCCGCCCGCAGCAACGAAGACCCAATGCAGCCAAATAAATAAATAAATAGATAAATGGGGAGGAAAATGACATAAATAAGTGGGGAAAGATAACACGTTCATGGATAGGGAGGCTCTATGCAACAAAGATGATATTAACTATGTAAGCACTAACATTTATTTAAGTGCCTGAGATGATCCAGGCACAGTTGAAATAAATAAATAAATAAATAAATATATGAATCCATTTCAATTTTCTCTAATTGAGCCTCAAGTTCAATTCAATACAATTCCAATCAGATGGAACACAATCTCCAGTCAGGAGATACAGGTGGTAACGTCTCCACTAATGCCCTTGTTTGCCTGGCAATTCTGAATAGAAGTCCATCCTACTTGAATAAAAGGAGACAAACCCTAAAGATTGGCCCTTTGTATCCTCTCTATATTTGTATTCATCATGACTTTTTCCTTTTTATATTTTTGATGCTTTGACATCTTGGGACTTGGTGATGCTGAAGGAACTACCCCTCCCAGGGCTAGTCAATTCCTAGAGATAGTAAAACACTAGGCTTTCATAGGCAAACCAGCCAACCCAGAGCCCTCACCCCTTGTCCGTACCGTTGTGCTTTTATACCCTGGCCACTGTCCCCTGCTCTAATCACCCAGGACCAGGTACCAGAAAACTAGGGACAGCCCATCTGCCCCAGAGCCAATTTTCCCACAGCCTGTAGAAACCAGAATAAAGACTCGTGTTCACATTTTCCCCTGCCCTCTCTGCCTCCTGACCGACCTGGTATTTCCCCATGTGGCCCTGCATGGTATGAGCCTCCTGTTTCTAGGGATCTGTGAATATAAAAAGCTTCTTTCTTCATGACAGTCATTTCTGTATCTGCATGTCTTGCCATATCTGATGAAAGCAAATCTAAATATCCTTAATGCAATATTCTGCTTCACCCACTCATACCTGACCCCTGGCTTGATCCCAACATAGACTAGACTTCTCTTAAGTATTCCCTTTGCCAGTCTCATCATCTAGCATGCAAAGTGTAGCAAGGCAGAGTACAGGGTGGAACCTAAAGGGAAATCAGTTGTCACAGATCCCCAGAGGCCCCCAAGCAGAGCACCTGCAGTCATGGATCTTGTTTGAAGAACGTGGCTTGCTCGGCAAAACCAGCTGGTCCATGCCTGGTGCCCTGAGGATAAGGCAATCATCCTCATAGGTAGTGGAGACCAGCACGAGGCGAGGCTCCTGCCGGGCAGTCACCATGTGTCCACCTTCCTTAATCACCAGCCAAAACCTGCCAAGAAACAAACAAGGGCGCATCAGAAAATCTTCTACCACCCTCTCCATAGCTTCCCTCTAGCTTTCTATTTCATCAAAACCCTCCCTCTGCCCCAACTCAGGACCCAACAATTTTTTCCAGACAGTATCCAGGTCTAGCCAAATTTTGGGGGTCCAAAATTCTTTGGCTGTTTGGTACAAACAGCCCTGGAAAAGAACATCTGGCCAATGTATGAAAATCCCCAGTCCTGAAAATCCTTCTGGTGAGGCTGGTGTAGGGACCTTCTCAACTGCTGGGGCAACTACTTTGCTTACTTTGGGTCTTTGCTTTGGTCAGAGACTCCCCTGAGCCTGTCTCTGGTTGAAGCAGAATGTCTTCCAGGTCTTTTTGCTGTGGAACAAGATGGGGTTGACCAACTAATGGCACAAGCAGACTGAAACTCTAGACAAAGGTCTTGAATGTTTGTGACTCCAGTGGATGCAATCCAGCCTCTGCTGGGTTTAAATTGCTGGGGCGTGTGGACCCTGATCAGGAAACCCCTAAACAGCCTTTCTTCTTCATACACACATTAAAACTTATATAATGTTATAAGCCAATATTACCTCCATTTTAAAAAAAGAAAATATATCTATACAATGGAATATCATTCAACCATAAAAAAGAAGGAAATCCTGCATTTTGTGGCAACACAGATGAAACTTGAGGGTGTTGCAATAAGAGAATAAGTCAGACAGAGAAAGACGAATACTGTATGATCTCACTTGTAAGTGAAATATAAAAAGGGGGGAACTGCTAGAAACAGAGAGTAGATTGGTGGTTGCCAGGAGTTGGGGGTGGAGGAAATGGGTGAAGGTGGTCAAAGAGGGAAAAGAGATCCTAAGAGGAAAAATTTCTGGAGATTATGGCAACTATAGTTAATAATACTGTACGGCAGGGGTCCTCAACCCCCAGGCCGTGGACTGGTACCAGTCTGTGGCCTGTTGGGAACCAGGCCGCACAGCAGGAGGTGAGTGGCAGGCTAGTGAGTGAAGCTTCACCTGCCGCTCCCCGTCGCTCCCCGTCGCTCCCCGTCGCTCCCCGTCGACCGCATTACCGCCCGAACCATCCCCCCCCACAACGCCCGTCAGTGGAAAAACTGTCTTCCACGAAACCAGTCCCTGGTGCCAAAAAGGTTGGGAACCGCTGCTGTATGGTCTACTTGCAAGTTGCTAAGAGAGAAAAGTCTCAAATGCTCTTACCATAACAACAAAGCAGAAATTATGAGAGGTGAAGGATGTGATCACTAACCTTATCATGGGAGTCATTTCACAATATATATGTGCATCAAATCATCACATTGCACACCTGAAACTCACACAATGTTATATGTCAATTATATCTCAATAAAGCTGGAGAAGAAAGAAATTCATGCAAATCATGTGTTAGATAGGAACTCCATTCACCTTCTAGAGAGCACCTCCCTCCGCCCCCGTTCTAGGCTCAGCTTTCACACGTTGTGTATCACATCCAAGGGGACAGTGGGGTGCGGGGTGAGCTGAAGAATGGAATGGGAGGTTGACCTGCTTAGGTTGGCTAGGCTCTTATCGATAGTAGAGCATGTATTTGGGGTGACGCCGCACAAATGATTTGATGACTAAGAAAGAAAAACGTGCCACCCCTAGGGGAAAGGAGTTTCAACATCGCTATTCTAGACAGAGCAAGTGCAGTGGGTGAGGAACTCTGCGGGCTCTGATGAGTGAGCCACCACTGAACGCTGGGGCCTCCCATATGTGAGCAGGATAAAAGGGACAGCCCCTTCCAGAAGGAGGGAGATATTTCAAAATATGACTGGAGCCAGATGGAACGTTCACAATAACCTGGTGAGGACATCTGCTATTATCACAGCGCAGGGAACCCAGGGTCTCCTGACCCTGGCAGGTAATCTGCCCTCTGGAACCTCCCAGTCAGGCAACCTATCCCTGTCCAGGTTCTGGATAACTCCCCTCCCCTGCAACCAAGCCAGCAGACAGGGGCTGGGTCCTGAGCCCTGCTAACTGGCATGTGCGTTGGTGCGAGGGTACAGCGGTGGGGATGGTGAGAGTGCAAAGGCATTTTAGGAATTGCCGTGGCTACTCTTCCCAGGAGTTGAGGATGCTGGACAGTAGTATGTCTCCGACCCTCTGAGGAGGCCACCTTTTTCTTTCTAGGGATCTTTGGTTCCCAGGGTTCTCTAGCCCGTTCACCTACGGGGTGAGGGTGGGTTGTGTGACCCAGGGATTTCCTTTCTACTTTGTTACAGCCCTATTCCCTCAGGCCTGGGCCCCGTTCCTTATTTCCAGCCTCATCCTTGGGTGCAGAGGCCTGGATGACCCTGTTCGATGAACTCCACCAAAGTCTGCACTTGAACTTCCAACATGGCCCGTCCCCCTCTGAGACAAGGCTCGCCCTGAGAGCTGCACATGACCAGATACATGTCCAGACAGGAGACACCCCCCCACCCCCCCCACCACGCCATGGCCCATTATTTCTGACAGTCAGCCCCCTCCGTGGGCTGAGTCTTCTCACCTGCCGTCCATCCCCCAACTTTAGCCCTTCACTCTGGCTCCCAAGCCATGCCTCCAGCTCCTGTCTGTTGTATAATCACCTGGGGGTTAAGCCCTGGGACGTAGCAGGAGAAGTGGTGGCTAGAGGTTCTGTGCTAATCCTGCAATGGAAGGGGCAGGTGGCAACTTGCAAGCAGCCCAACACTGCGGTAGGATGAAGACCACAATAAAAGATGCAGAGGTGGGCTTCCCTGGTGGCGCAGTGGTTGAGAGTCCGCCTGCCGATGCAGGGGACACGGGTTCATGCCCCGATCCGGGAAGATCCCACATGCCGCGGAGCGGCTGGGCCCGTGAGCCATGGCCGCTGAGCCTGCGCGTCCGGAGCCTGTGCTCCGCAACGGGAGAGGCCACAACAGTGACAGGCCCACGTACTGCAAAAAAAAAAAAAAAAAAAAAAAGATGCAAAGGTGCCCTCGGCAACATACCCCAGCCAGCCACCCCATCACCCTGTGACCGGGATGATGATAGTTTTCACCTCTTGCACACAAATGATGCCCAGGGAATGAATAATGACCTCTGTTCTGCCAGATCGGGAAGAAAGGATATGTCTGGAGTGCGGATTTTTTCACCACCCATTTTTTCTCGTCTGCAACCCTGAAAGCCAGCACATTTGTTTTACACATGAGTATGTGGCGTGAAGAGCAGTGCAGAGACCAGAGCTCAGAGTCTCTAAAAGAACAGCGATGCCATCCCTGAACAACCAACAGCCATGTTCAGGAAGCAGAGTCCAAGACAGCTGGAAAGTCTCATTTCTAAACTGGCAAACTGGCCTGGGAAGTAGGAATGACTGAGCTGGAAAAGGGGGGAAAACAGGAGCCCTACCACAGAGAGCTGGAGGGTAAGGGCAGGAGGGAATGACACTTGGGATAATAAACTTAGCAGACTCATGTCTCCAAGAGGTAATAGTCTATGCAGAAGAAATGAAGGGCTGGATTTATCAATGGGCGAGTCATACATGGTTGCTGAGGAAAGTGAGGGTTTACAAGGTCAGGGAGGGCAGCCATGCCCTCCCAGCACCTGTAGCAAGCAGCCAGTGTTAGCCTTCTGCTGGATGGACTTGAGCTCAAAGCTCAGAGCTCTCAGGCCAAGCATTCGCACAAAGATGCTAAAGGCTTTGAGCAAAATCGCTCTAGAAATTTAAGGCACAGAGCACTTAGAGAGGACGCTCTCGGCTTCTTAGAACAGTTCCAAAGACACAGATTCAAACTGGAAATAAATAAAGGCCGGCTTTTCCTGCATTCTAGACTATTTGTAGTTTTGTGATTGAACTCTCAAGTTGAGAGAATAACAGCATTTAGCAGAGTTCTTTCCAGCTTGCTTTCGAGTTTCAATTATCCTTTAATAAATAAAATCTAGATTTGATAAGGTCTTGGAGATCCTCAAGTTCAACCTCTTTTGCAAATGTAAAAAAAAAAAAAATGAGGCTCAGAGAGGTTACGTGACTTCGCCTGAAGTCTCTGGATCCCTGGCACAACCCTTGCCCTTGTAAATCACATGCTGGTTTTACAGGAGGGGCATGAGTGCTGCACTCAGAGATCTGAGTTCAAGTCCCTCCAGCACATAATGGTCTTGTGATCCTGGGTGAGATACTCATTCTTTCTGATACTGTTACCTTATTTGCAAAGTGGACACAATATCTAGCCCACAAGATCGTTCTGAGGCTTAAATTACATCATCTGTTGAAAGGACTTAGTTAAGCTTCTGCTGCATGTGAACCATTGAACAAAAGTTTATTCCATCGTTTTTCCCTGCCTCATCCCAGCCTCCATACCACACCACCCCATCCCAAGCATTTATTGTTCAAAACAAGGGAAAGTTGATACAGTTCCCTCTATTTTCAGATGCCCACAGAAGCAGAAAAGCAAAGGACAAATATTCTCTTTCCATGGAAGCAAGAGTCACAGCAAAGTAGTGACCATGAGCAGGGGGAAAGCAACAGTTATTCTGATGAAAAGAGGAAACACAGATAAGAACTGAATCTCTCTGTGAAATAACCTCAGTCCTTCACATGAGGAAGGAAGGAGCACAAGTCCATTTTCTCTGGGTGTGCATCCTGAGAATCTACCTCTTCACTCTGCCTGAGGTCTTCCCAGCAGTCAGAAGCCTTTTCTAAGCCTTCACACTTGAATAGGCTTGAAAAATGCTCTTATTCTTAATGGTCACAGAGAAAACCCTCTCATGATGGCATCAGAATCACCTGGGGAGATTTAAACACCCCCCCCCCACATGAGTTTGCTTCACTCTTGGTGATTCTGAGTCCGTAGGTCTGGGATGGGAATCTCAGGAAATTGTAGTCTTAAAAAAACTCTCCAGGATTAGAAATCTGAAGTGAAAGGGGATGGAAAATGCCCCATGAGTTACATGGTCTGCACACACAGCGGTGCTCTACAGCAAGCTGAAGTCTTTCAGTGTCGTGGGAGCACACATTTCTTTAAGAGGACAGCAGTTACATGGTCTGCACACACAGCGGTGCTCTACAGCAAGCTGATGTCTTTCAGTGTCGTGGGAGCACACATTTCTTTAAGAGGACAGCAGTCTTCAGAGAAGAGAGAATACACGTGTCCTGGAGTGAACTCAGGACAGCAAACAGCCTCTCTAGAAGGCTCCCTGAACGACCAATTTGCAAACCTCCCTCCCCCTAGACACAGGACCGCAGCTAATCCATCCAAGCCAAACAGGAAAGCACCTTCATCCTAAGGAAGCAAAGAAGGAGGTTCCCTTCTTCCTTGTTCACTCTTTTCAGGGTTTAGCATCCTTCTCTGTCAAGGGTGCTTTCCCCGTATCTAGCTGCACCATTCTGTGTCCATGAGCATGTGTCTGTGGACTCACCTCTGGGGGGAGAAAAATGACAGGGCACCTTTTCTTTTCTGAGGGAGGAGGATGAAATTTCTATGTGCCAGGCCCTGTATAGGTAGGGACTTTCGAGTTCTTCACTGAAAAGCACCCTGCCTCTGGGGGAAGGGGACACACTTTTGTTCTAATGGCAAGTATTATACGCACAGTCTACCTGTCACCTCCTCTCCCCAAAGGAAGACTTCACTCTGCTCATTCTGTATCAAAGTGGGTCAGGCCCCCCACCGCCTGCGTCTCCCAAGCGCCTTTCCCAGCACCAGAAGCTGTGAGGGGCAAGCCCCAGCAAGGTCAAAGCCAGTGTCCTTGAATAAGACTTGGTTTCAACATTGCTCCCATCTACCCACTAGTGCCAATAACGTTTTCTTTTTCCACGGTTGTGCTCATACTAAGAATCAGAAAGCTTAGAACTAGAAAGAGCCTTGGGGATAACCGGTCGGACCCTGTCCTTCTACAGAGCCTCTCCTCCAGGGGGCGGGAGGCAGAGGCTTTGTAAGCGAGCAGGACTCTCCAAGGCCTTCCCAGGACAGGCCCTTTCCCCACATCCTCTGGTTTAGCTCCTCTCTGAAGTACCTAGATAACAGTATTATTTATTTATTTTTTTTGCGTTATGCGGGCCCCTCACTGTTGTGGTGTCTCCCGTTGCGGAGCACAGGCTCTGGACGCGCAGTCTCAGCGGCCATGGCTCACGGGCCCAGGCGCTCCGCGGCATGTGGGATCTTCCGGGACCGGGGCACGAACCCGCATCCCCTGCATCGTCAGGCGACTCTCAACCACTGAGCCACCAGGGAAGCCCGATAACAGTATTTGATGCACATTTCCTGAATTGTTTTACAGATGTGACAACCCCCCATCAAATGGAAGATGTTAACTACTTGATGATCAAAAGTGCATAGCCCCAGGCCTCCTGGAGCCAAAGGAATGATGATGTTAACCCCTGTGACACCGTCCTCTTACCTCACCATCAACCAGCTGGAGAACTGTGCATGAGTTGATCACATACCCTGTGACACGCCCCTCTCTCACCTGGCTTTTTTTTTTAACATCTTTATTGGAGTATAATTGCTTTACAGTGGTGTGTTAGTTTCCGCTTTATAACAAAGTGAATCAGTTATACATATACATATGTTCCCATATCTCTTCCTGCGTCTCCCTCCCTCCCCCCCTCCCTATCCCACCCCTCTAGGTGGTCACAAAGCACCGAGCTGATCTCCCTGTGCTATGCGGCTGCTTCCCACTAGCTATCTATTTTACGTTTGGTAGTGTATATATGTCCATGCCACTCTCTCACTTTGTCACAGCTTTTTAAAATGCTTTGCCAAAACCTTTCAGGGAGCTCTGGGCCTTGGGGGGCCTGAGCCACCCGTCTCCTTACGTGGACTTGCAATGAACCTTTCTCTGCTCCAAACTCCAACCTTTCGGTTTGTTTGGCCTCACTGTGTCTTCCGGCACAGGAACTTGCGCTAACATCTTGCCTCCACTACCTTTCCAAATCTGCACCAGACACGAACTTCACCTTTCCAGCTTCAGGATCAAAGGCAGAGGATCCAAAAAGCAGCCCAGGACACGCACGTGGCAAACCTCCCTTCTCCTACCCTGGGACAGGCCCCAGCTCCCCAGCCCCGCTTCCTCCTCAGCAGGTCCTGCGCTGTCGCCGCGCCCGGCCCTACCTGTCCCGCAGGTGACCGCTGCGCAGCCCCAGGGCCGTGCACTCCGCCGCCTTCACCGACACCCCCTTGCAGGACTTGACGGGGTAGATCCAGAGCTCTGCCACGGTGCCCACCTGTTGCAGCCGCCGGCGCCGCCTGGGCCGCGCGCGGCGCCAGGCCACGGCCCCCAGCGCCACAGCGGCCAGTCCCAGCGCGGCGACCCCGAGCCAGCGGGGCCGGGGCTGCAGCGCGGAGAGTCCCAGGCGGGCAAGCGCGGACGAGCCGGCGGCGCCCATGACCCAGCGATCGCGGGCGTGGGTCTGAGCGCGGACTAGGCAGCGATTGGCGTGGGGAGGGCGCCCGGGCGCTCAAGGCTGCAGGCGAGCGGAAGGAACCAGAGTTGGCCCAGGCACCGGCCCTGGCACCCCTTCCGTGCGCCGAAAGGACTGGCTGTGCGCAGGGAGGGGACGCCTGACTGGGCGCCAAGGACCAGGAAGTAGCCGAGAGAAGCGAGGCAGAAAGCGAACTGGGATGCTCGGGTGCCCTTGGGGGCGGTTCGGGAGGCCCCACACCAGAGGCCTGGCTGCCCACTGTCTCTGGAACAGTCACTTTCGCTTTACTTCTCCCCTTTCCCGGGGCCCAGCGACTCAGCGTAACTCCTCACCCGCCCTTACGGTCCCCGGCTCTCCACTGCCCCTTCGCTCCCTGTGCTGCCCACTTTGTTGCGTGATTGCAGCGCAGGGAACAGTGCAAGTGGATGGTAGATTGCAGAATGGGTGATTTTAAATGTTCAGGAGCTCCTACTGGCAGATCGCTCTGAGAACTGCAGAACTTTCGGCCCATAACCTGCTCCGTGGAAACTTATGCACTCTGAACAAACTCGAGTGTAGCTTCTTCTTCTTTTTTTTTTTTAATACATCTTTATTGGAGTATAATTGCTTCACAATGCTGTGTTAGTTTCTGTTGTACAACAAAGTGAATCAGCCATGTGCATACCTGTATATCCCCATACCCCCTCCCTCTTGAGGCTCCCTCCCACCCTCCCTATCCCACCCCTCAAGGTCACCGCAAAGCACGGGCCTGATCTCCCTGTGCTATGAGGCTGCTTCCCACTAGCTATCTATTTTAAATTTGGTAGTGTATGTATGTCGATGCTACTCTCACTACGTCCCAGCCTTCCCCTCCCCCCCACCTCGCTCCCCAACCCCCGTGTCCTCCAGTCCATTCTCTATGTCTATGTCTTTATTCCTGCCCTGCCACTAGGTTCGTCAGTACCATTTTTTTTTCTAGATTCCATATATGAGCATGGCTTCTTGCCGCATAAGGCCAAGTCCCAAGGGTGACCCTCGCTCCCCATTAAAATGCCTGCCTGAGAAAACTCCCTGCTGCCGGGAGATTTCACTGTTCCAGCCAACATCCAGGACCGGCCTCTCACCCCCTTTCCTTCCGTTACGGACCTTTGTTCTTGGCCTCCTTAATCTATAGAAACTGATAAAAGGCCAGGCAAGAAATTCGGGCAAGGCCCTCTTGGGACTTGAGTTGCAGCACCAGAGAGCGAAAACAAGTGACAGGTTCCCTTGCTTACTCCCTGAGGCGGGTGAGTGTAGGGGCGGGTATGGGGGTAGGACTGGAGGCGTGGCTTCGGTCATCTGCCCACCCCCTTGGTGGTGCTGTGTGCACGGGGCATGTGCGGTCCCCTGATTTTGCTGAGTTTTTGGTCGTTTTGTATCTTGTTCATAATTTGCCCCAATTGCGCAGGCACGCGGTTATTTTTAGTCTCTTATAATTTCTTCGTATTTTGTCGCTGGAGGAGATGTTTGTCCAGGTGCAAGAACTGCAGCAAAGGGTCCCAGGTCCCAGCCTGTCTCACTTAGAGCACTTACTCCCTCTGTCCCTTCCAGATGTGTATGAACCTCCTACAGCTCAGAAGTGTTTTTCTCAAGGACCTGAGAGCCATGGCCTTGGAACTGTAATCGGTACCGGCTGGCCGACCCCGGGTCCACTGCCCCACCCTTGTCAGTTTTCACCTGAGCCCCCCCGGCCTCCTTCGCCCTTTAAAACCCAGTCACCTCTGCACTCACCGGGCTGTCCTTTCCCCTGCTCATCAGTAGTTACTGCATAAAATATGTTTTTTACGAAAGTTCAGCTTTGTTTCTCCTTACCAGCTCCATTCATACAAGCTCTTTGGTAAACGGTGGATTTTCTTAGAGAAGTTAAGCTTTGAGGTCATTTGTTTATTTTGTTTATTTTTCAAAGATTGTCCCTTAACCTGCGGCACGGTTCTAGAGTTTACGGAGGCAACCAGCGGGTAGCCTCCCACAGTCCTGATTGGTCATCCTCTAGAGAAGAGGACCGCCCTCCAGGCTGGGAGGAGAGCAGAGGAGGGCGGGAAGCCAGAGACAAGCTCCCTTCCGCAGCTCCTCGTGCAAAGTGAAAGTCAAAATCTCCCTGCAAACGGGCCCTGTTTGAAATCCCAGGCCCGTGGACTTCTGTCTCTTCAATAAGCACACATTCTCATCATACTCAGAGGCCAAGACTTGGACTTCTTTTTCAAGTGTAGTGTTGGGAATGAGGTGTGTATTTCAACTTGCACCTGGACCCCTTCGCCTCTCCAGACACTAGACCCCATGAGTTTACCTTCAGCACGAGGTCCTTATAAGCCCATCTTCCTCACGGTCAGTGAGGAGGAACAGACAGGGGAAACATCTTGTTGATTAAGTATCTGTTCCTTTCCATACACATTTATTGATCATTCCCCCTAGATTGACCCTGGGGATTTAACGTTTAGAAGAAGCTTCCCTGTTGTTCAGGAGCTCACAGAGCCCCTGGAAGACGGGCTGGGAGGACAATGTTGGAGGACAGTCACGGTCAAGGTGCCGTGCAAGTGAGAGGTAAAAGCAGGGAAATCTCAGGACAGTGGTGTCTTCAGAGGAAGGAGCTTTTGAGCTGAGACTTTAACAAAAAGGCTTTGAGAAGGGGCCCGAGGAGGGGATCCTGGGCCAAAGGTGCACGTACAGCGTGGACTGAAGGAACAAGAGGATGTGACATGTTTGGACAGCCACTAGCAATCCAGCTTTATTAGAACGTACCTGTGTATGCAAGCGGTAGGGGGAGTTGAGGCAAGACAGGTGGGCAGGGCCAGACCACAGATGCGCCTGTCTCATCTTAATGTGGAGACACCTCAGGATTCAGAACAGCAGTGAGGTGTGATCAAACTTGGGTGTTAGAAGGTCACTTTGGCTGCTCTGGGAAGGAATAATGCCAAAGGTGGTTAAATGAGAGGCTAATGCCCTAGATCAGGCTGAAGCAATCCCGAAACAGGGAAAAACAATAATGGAGATGGAGATGGGGGACTTCCCTGGCGGTCCAGCGGTTAGGACTCTGCGCTTCCACTGCTGGGGTCCTGAGTTTGATCCCTGATTGGGAAACTAAGATCCCAGAAGCCTTGCGGTGCAGCCAAAAAAAAAGATGGAGTAGGGGCTGTGGATAGGAGACATAGGAGACAATTAGCAAGAGGTGGTGACAGACGAACACTGTGATTGAGAGAGAGAAGGAGTCCACGGTGACTTCCAGCTCTCTGACGTAGCTGTCTGGGTACCAGTGGGAGGTGCCATTCTCTGAGATAAAGAATTCAGGAGAAGAAGCTGATGGGGAGAAAGATGACGAGCTCTGTTGTGAACAGTGAGTGTGACTTATATGTGGGACGTGGAAGAACAAATAGTTACCTGGACAGGTAGCTTGAATCCTCTGGGCTTCCATGTCCTCAACTATAAAATAATGGCTATAGACCTCTAAGATATCAGCTCAAAATTCTGTATTTCCTAAATCCATGCTAGCTGACATTGGCTCCAACAGACAATCAAGCGAGGAACCTTGCCATGGTGAGTGCCAGGTCTCTGCTACCCTCACCCAGCATTACCTAGCACCTAGCCTGCCCTGATTGCCATTTCACCAGAGCTCAGGGTGGGGGTGATTTCAGGGGAGCAGGGAAATTCCTTAGCAGAAATGTGTACCATAGCAGCCCTAGCATCTTCATTTCTAGAATTTGTGAGAGGTGATGGGAGGGGGAGGATCTATTAATCTTATTGGTTATTTGCTTTTCTTTTCCCTGTTGAGTTCAGAGATTGATGGTCTTGTCTGTATTTTTCTTGTTGATTGATAAGAGACTTTTGTAAATTTATAAAAATACACTTTTAGCATATGTGACTCAGGGTTTTGACCTTCCCCCCTAATTCGTCAGTTTGGGGACAACTTCTGCTTCATAAGACATCACTGTCTGCCTAGAGGCACTGATATAACTAAATAAAACTCAGTTGATTACAGTACCAACACAGGAAGCAGAGGGGAAAAAAAGAGTCTAAAATGCAAATATTGCTCTTGTTTAGCCAGGCCTTTATCAGGAGTGTGGGTCCCCAGCAACCAACAGAATTAGTAGGGCCACTCAGCAGTATATCTCTCCTGGGGAGATGTACAAATAAGATTATCAGAATGTGATGATAATCAACCTTCAACTCACATAAGAAATCTTATGAGTGTAAAATCTAAAATGTTGTAACCATCTCAAAATCTCAACAGTCTAACAAAGTAAAAGTTTATTTCTCACTTTATCCCAGTTCAGTGCAGACCAACAATGGAGTTAGTCATTCAAGGACCCAGGCTCCTTCAAGGTTGTTGCTCTCCCCTCCATTCATTCAGTGAGAGGAGAAAGTGAGCAAGGCTCTTGTGTGGGAGGTTTCATATTGGGCTGATCCTGGAAGTGGTGCACATTCTTCTCCTCACATCCGTGAGCCAAAAACCAATCCCACAGCCACATGTGGAGAGAGCTATAGAGAATTGAGAATGGGCAGGCTGTTCAGGACAGGAGGAAGTAGAGTGTATCTGTTCCCAGCAAGAAGAGGGAATTTGAAAATGATAATGCTAGTGATCTCTACCACTGCTGGTGCCACACTCACAGCCCCTTTCTGAGAAAAGGCCCCCTTGGGGTTATTTCTGTACAAACTTGCTATTACACTTGCCTTCTGGGATGAAGGAATCACCTTTCCGACCCTGGCTACAAAACCAGAAGTAAGAATAAGGGAACCAACCATCTGTGAAGTGACTTGACTCAAAACCTTATTAAATAAGAAAAATCCATATTGGATAGCAACAAAGTGACCCAATTAGATCTCCTGAGAAATTAGAAATGGGAGACGCACACAAGAAAGGAGGGTCACTGAACGGTTACTAGCGACACCATGTTTTCTCCTTGGTGATTTCTCAGTCTCGTCACTATCCACTCTGCTCAGATCCTCCTCCCTCTGCCTCCCGACTCACTCTGAGTAGATGACTTGGCCTCCAAATTCACAGAGCAATAGAAGGCATCAGACATGACTCCCTCAATCCCCAGCTCCTAAATGTACACACCCTCACGCACCCCCATTTGTACACCCTTCTTCCTCTCCTCCTGTTCATTGGGTCTCCCCTGCTGCCCGAGGCTCATTCAGCCTTTGGTGCCTGG